GAGATGATAGGTTTACTGTGTACAGGATTATCTCTGAAGCTCCAAAAACCACAAACATTGCAGTTAGCCATTTCAAAAAGCACAATGACTGATATACATAATTGATTAAGTACCCTTATCAGCATAACTTAGGCGGCACCATGCAACCTAGCATATGCTCTTTCATCCACCTCTAGATATAAAGCAGAATTTATCTTCCAATTAAGATCAAGAGGATTAACTGACAAAAATGAACACAAACCTGATCAGCCATCACCATGACCTTTCCATATCGGAGTGATTTGAAATCCTCTTCAGTCTCATATTTCTTCTTGTACTGTAGACCCAGGATCTTGATCAAAGCATTGACCTCAACGTTCTCAGCTACCTAGAGATTGATTGTACATTGAAAACAAGCTTTCGCTATCAAATGATCATTTACCAACCTGTTTGATACTTCCTTCACGAACGTTCAGCAGTTTACCACGAAGCGGAAACACTCCATAGCGGTCTCTGCCAACCACACCTAGACCAGAAACAGCCAATGTTTTGGCTGAATCTCCCTCGGTGAGGATCAGCGTGCAAAGCTGCGAGTTCCTCGTACCAGCATCATTTGCGTCTTCAAGCTTAGGAATCCCCTGGAAATACATAACACATCAATCCATCCTAAGTGGCGATGTTGAGAGGACATGTACACTTATCTTACCTTCAGCTTAGTGGTTTTCTTGCTACTGCATTTCTTGTTCATGTCTTCTTGTTGTTTGAACCTAACCCAGGCTAGCACAGCATCTACGATACCGCAGTTGATCGCCTAGATAGCAAGCAGGCTACAAATGCTTCAATCACTCAAAAAAATTTGCTTACTTGTTTGGTAAACTTCTCACTGAGTTCGCATTTTGATCCAAATGATTTTGCCTGGAGCGTCATTGTTTCCTTTGTTTGCGAGTCGAAAGTAGGATTTTCAATCAAACAGTTTACAAATACCCACATATGATTTTTCACCTAAAAGTGGCATTACAAGCGTCGGAGACTATCATCGATAGAAGACTTACTTGAAAAGGCTTCACGTTTACTGTACTTTTTCCCACTTTCTTTTTGATAACATCGATCAGTTTGGAAACCATTTGGTCAGCTACATAGTCAACATGACGACCACCCTAAAATGCTTACATTGGAAATTTTCAAAAAAAAA